ATGAGTATCCTTACGATTTAATTATTAAAAAAAATATAATACGTAAAAGGCATATTATTTCTGCAAAATGTTTCGAGCTGTAATTTGAAGAATAAATTAGCAATAAAATTTATTCTAAAGAAAGATATCATGTGTATAATTAAAGAATTTACTTGTAGTTAGTTGGATCTTAAAAAAATGCTTTTACAAAAAAAAAGAAATTAACTGTTCAAAGAATCGATGTCTAGTATTTAGTTTCTTGATCCACAAGCGTATTCTATTTGTTCCATTTAATTTTGAATTTATTTTAACACTTTCTTTGCCTTTCACTTTCACTTTCAAAGGAAATCTATTTTTCTATTTCTTTCTAAATAAATATATTATCCATCTTTAATCATCCATAAAGTTCATCATTAATCATCAGAATAATTTTCATTTTATTAGAATAAAGGGCTTTTCTTTTCTGTTTAATGTAAAGCAATTAAGGTCTTTATGCTTAGTATATCTTCAATCAATTCTACTGTAATTTTTAGGAATAGATTTCATAAATCTTAAAGGAAGGTTCTTCATTCAATTCCTATTGTAACCTTTAAATTCTTGGAATCTAAGTTATTTATTGCATTTTCATTCAAAACTTATTAACTTTTAAAAACCGGTTAATGGCTCCTATATTCTTTTTGTGGCATTTTTATGATTAGGATAATCTTCTTGCAGATTATCTATTCCACTTTTCATGCCAGAATAAGATTATATATTGTCGTAAGCTGAAGTAAAATTATCATTATCATTGATAAATTATTAAGAATCCCAAAATCATATTCTAAAAATCATTTGGAATTAGAGATTATTAAAAAAAATATTAAATTATCTCAAAAGAAAGGTTAAATAATTAAATTGACATTAAAATTATAATAAAGAATTAATATTTTTGGTGCAATATTAGAGGAAATTTTTGTTTATTATTGAATTACAAGCTAAATTGATGCTTTAATTATTATTTTTTTCTTCTAATAAGGTTGATTTATATCAGTAATAATAAAATGGATGAAGTAATTATTTATTTTTTTGGATATTGCTTTAATACATAAATCAAGAAATATTTATCTTAAGTTTACAATATGTATCTTATTTGTTATATTTCTCCTTTTACACAATACTTAAATGCGATTAAGAAAGTATGAAGCCCATTTTATAAATGTATAAATTATTCTTATCATTGTAATATATATATATGCACATATATAGATAATTGATTTCGATTTATTTTTAGGTATAAAATAAATAATAAACTTGAACAAAATTAACAATTCAATAAGAGATTTGAATTTTAAATTAAGATTATTTACTTTTGGATCTTATAACAAGAATTGATTTATTCCCGATTAAAAAATCTCCTAAAGATTTAAAAATTGTTAAACCAAAATTATTATACTTTAAAAAATAATCCTAATGAATCTTAATAATTTCTTAATAGCAAAATATTATTTAATCGCTATTATCTAAATTAGTTGATAGAAACATTTAAGAATTGACGAACTATAAATTTCTTAACATTTGAATATTTGATATTTATTAAAATTACTTTTTCTAAACATAATTTTTCATCATTTTTATTTAATTAAATTTCTTTATTGTAGCTTTTAATTATTAGTTCAGCTTATCTAATGTCAAAATTATATTAATTGATTATCATCTCCCGTAGAATATCTCTATTTAAATAAGATAATAATTGTTTTGATTTATCTAAATAGTTAAATCATATTTTTAAAATGCATTGAAATATTATTTTTAATTTAATATTAAGTGATAAATATAATATCTTTAGAATGCATGAC